AGGCACACCAAGAAACAGATTCTGAATGACAGAGAACTGATGGTTACCAGAGGTGAGGTGGGTGGGGGGATGGGTGAAACAGGTGATGGGGATTAAGGAATGCACTTGTGATGAGCACTGAGTGCTGTATGAAGTGCTGAATCACTAAATTGTACACCTGAAATTAATATTACACTGTTAACTGAAATTTTAAAACTTAAAAAAAAAAATTAAAAATGAGGTAAATTAGAACTATACACACGAGTTTGAGATGTTCAAAATGTATTTTGAGAAAAAGTTGCAAAATACATACCATGTAATTCTACTTTCGTTAAAAAACACACAGAAAAACATACCAGTTATATACACATACACTTGTATAAAACTAAAAGCATACATACTAAAGTTTATTAGGTGGCTGGGAAGGGCTGGAGATTTACTTTCTCGGATGTATTTAAAATATTTTAAATCAAAGTTAACATAAGCTCATACTAAGATATACAAAGCCAATTCATATGATACAAAGAATATTTAAATGTTAAAGCCTCCCCTTCCCCCCACCTCCCCAACTGCTATCACCAAGAAAAGTTCTCCTCCTACCCAACTATAGCTACTATTAACTTCTGGAGTTTGGCATTTCCTATGTATAAAAATGTTTATTTTTAATAACCCAAAGTAAGTGATTTCTACTTGTATGCACTGAAGAGGACAGCTCAAAGTAAGGTAAAAACAGTATATTCCCAAATTATTCATACACTGGTAAAGAAACAGGGAAAAATGAGGACAGAAAACCAGAGAACTGAAAATTCAGTCTGATCATACAGAATTTTGAAAAATACACCTAACAAAAATGTCTTGAAATACTTTCATTTTAAAAAACTCATTTTCCTTATTGTAAATTATGTTCATAAAAATTCAAAACCTTACACATTATGTGGTAAAAGCATGTCCTCCATAATTCTACCCACAAGAAATACGCAGTTTGTAGTTTACAATCTTCCACACTGCTTTCCTCCATATACTTATAATAACCTATTGTGTTGCTATGCATTTTAATGAATTTGTTAAACAAAATAAGATTTTTTACATGTTCTTAAAATAACTTAAAAGCATTTTAAAACAGTTCTTAGAAACTAGTCAAAAACAGGTGAATTTATTGATACTAGAGCAAAGATGCTTCTCAGCCAGATAATTTGTTCCTTTGATTGTTATGTCCCCATTAACCTAATATGGATATACTATCCTTATACCAATGGATAATGGAAGGACTTTGGAGTTCTGGGGGTAAAAGAGGCCTGAAACTGAATCAGTTTCATTGCTTACAAGTTCTTGGCCAAAACAGTTAAGTTTGCTTTAGGCTTATGAAAAAAGCTAGTATTACCAAACTCACAGAATTGATATAATGCATATGACAATAGAAGCACAACACTTGTCACATACCAATCACTATTATCAACAAAAGTTTTGTTTTAGCTGATCACATGCTTTAGTCTAATATTGAATGAAGGTTCTTGGCTACAGTTTTCTTTTCCCATGAAACTAATCACTTTGATATAATTAAGTCTGGGATGGAAATTCCAATCCCCCACATCTATGCTTAATTGAATACAAACATCCCAAAATGTGCATATTCAGTTATTCTACTTCTAAGAATTAATTTGAAAGAATTATAAGGGTCAAAAATTCAGTCACAAAGATAGTTATTGCAGTATGGCTTATTAAAAAAAAATATAAACAACTTCACTGTCCAAAAAGGGATGGAATTAAAGAAAGGATTATACAAAAACACTGAAACTAATGGTATAGAAGTATGTATTACATAAAAGTTACCAAACAGGATATAAGTGCAAAAAGTATAATCAATCCTTGAAACACAGAGAAAACCATCTGGAAGTTTTATTTCTGGGCAAATTAAATTTTTCTTTTAATCTTTTAATATGTCTACCTCTCTACAATGAACATGTATAAACAACTTCACTGTCCAAAAAGGGATGGAATTAAAGAAAGGATTATACAAAAACATTGAAACTAATGGTATAGAAGTATGTATTACATAAAAGTTACCAAACAGGATATAAGTGCAAAAAGTATAATCGATCCTTGAAACACAGAGAAAACCATCTGGAAGTTTTATTTCTGGGCGGAGGAATTAAATTTTTCTTTTAATCTTTTAATATGTCTACCTCTCTACAATGAACATGTACTATTTGTGAAACAATTGCTTTAAATAAGAAAATGTTCTGAAATTAATTTTCCCCTTCAACTTATGCATGTTAATTTCCTTCCCCCTCTTCAATTTATGCATGGGAGAAGAGCAGCTAGTACAGGCCCTCCAACTTTACACAAGGCCAAAACTTAAGCAATTATCTTTTCCATTAAACTGCCCTTGGTTGGAGCACCTGGGTGGCTCAGTTGGTTGAGCGACTGCCTTCGGCTCAGGTCATGGTCCTGGAGTCCTGGCATCAAGTCCCGCATCGGACTCCCTGCTCGGCAGGGAGTCTGCTTTTCCCGCTGATCTCTCTCCTCTCATGCTCTCTCTCTCTCTCAAATAAATAAATAAATAAAATCATTAAAAAAATTTTTTTAATAAAAACAAACAAAAACAAAAACAAAAAACTGTCCTTGGTTTATTCACCAGACCTTCCCATGTATAATCAAGTATGTTGAAGAATGAAAAAAATGTTAAAAAGCATAAATGCCAAAACGAACTAAATGGAACATTTCCTTCTTCTTTCCACAAGGTCCTTTTGTAATGTACTTGGAAACACCTATGTCTTACTACCTTGGTGTCAGTGACTGGAACAGGGGAAAAAAGTTTTTGAAAGCTAGTTTATATCATTAAATACTGTGATATATTAGAAAATTTACAGGTTCTCCAATAGTTATGCTTTTTGCAAGATAACATATTCAATAAACAAAGGTCCAGGGACCTGGAAAAGATATGTTTTCACTCAATAATTTAAGTTCCACAGAGCAAATATAGTGTAGGAATAGACTACAGTGAAGTATTAGTTCAGTAACAATAAAAGATCCTGAGGTAAATAACCGTACACAGCCATGAAAAGAGGGGCAGAGTTGCTAACACAAGCTAAGAATACTTCCACCTTAGTAATTTTCTAGTTTGGACTAGGTTCACTAAATCTAGGTATTAGTGACTCTTACACACAGATCAGAAATATATTAGATCTCAGCCATGCAGAATTAGCCAATGTGTCTAAGAAACATGAAAATGAGCAGTCTAATTTTTAAAGAATTAAGTCTGGCCTGGTTCTTTAAAGAGTCAATGGACTCGCTAATAAGACTTCTGAGCCGGAAATGCAGCATCTGTCTTACGGTTCTGGTTTGTGATCTTTTAGGATAAGACTTTAACGATTAGAGGAATATCCATGCTACCCCTCACTTTTTCTCCATGGTCTTAAGTCCCTGAAGCCAGAGACTGCTCCCATTAACTTCTACTCTGCTGAAAGAGGACAATGGAATTTACTGCTTCTTTTCTGGCAGCCTCTATCTGTTGTGGCTTAAAACAAGATCTTGCAGACATAAAGTCATGAAACAGTTCACAATTTCTGCTTGAACCTCTCATTGTGCATAAAGGCTGGAAAAAGACATAAAAGGAAGCAAAAGTTGTAACAGTACTATGAGGATTAACTGATCTATGCTCATACCTGAGAATTTAAACATGTAAAATTTCAACAGAATATAATGTATATATCTAGAAAAAAGTGGTATAAAACCTTCCAGAATATTCTTTGAAAGAAACCAAAGCACAGACTGCTTCAAGTCAGCTACTCTTCAACATCTTGATATATTTTTAAATTATTCATACAATCATAGTAATTTTATCATTTAGCTTAACACGGATCTTAAAATTAGTCTCATATTTATATATTTTGGGTCATCTTAAAGCATCAAATCAAGATGTTTAGTTACTTTTCCACAGAAAGGAAGACATGAACAGTTGGGTTTGTTCACAAAATTACCAGTAACAGGAACTGACAATAAAAGGCTAATTTTTCATAGACCTGTCTTAATTACTCTTTGTCTAATTATTCTTTGCCAACAAACATTCGCAAACCAGAGAAACAATGGAACGTGTAGAAACATGTTTCCGTGACATAATGCCACTCCTAAGTCTTTCATTAAGTGTTCATAAACGAATCACTCTACGATCCTGTTTATACAGGACACCCACCTCTGATTCTTCTATAATTCACTCTGTAGAAATTCGCTTTTGATAGGTTCTGGCTGCATCGCTTTCCATTCATGGACATACATTACCAATACAATTCAGGAGGCCAACAACTCCCATCCCCGATTCCCTATTAATGAATCATCAATATACGCCACTGGAAACCAGTCCAATTCCCACGAATTTTCAAGGACACGGGGTAAAACCCTGAACACCTCAACAACTTAGCAAAAAAAAAAAAAAGGGGGGGGGGGCTTTCTGGGCCAGATGAACCTGCAACTCATATTCTGATGTGTGCAGCCTAAGCTTTCTTTTTCTTACTTTTCTGAAAAGCCGTCACGCAGAGAGATGGGGAAAGGAGGAAGGGCAGAATGAAGAATTCTTTGCTCAGCTAATGGGAGATACGCGCCCGCGGCCGGTAATCCCCAGCAAGCCCCGCTAGAGGTAACCAGACATCTTTTCACAGATTTGTTCAGGATATCGAGGAGGTTCTGCACCCCCCCCACCCCCCCCACCCCCGGAAAACTAAAGCAGGCCCGCTGGGGAACAGAGGCAGGGTGGGGATGTGGGCGTGAGAGGGTACAGAAAGGAGATGCGCCAACTATTAGAGTGAAGTCCCTTGTCCTTTAAGGAAAAGCAGCTTTGCAGTGCGACGAAGTCCGACTCCCACCTGGGCCCGCCAACCAGCGGTCTCCAGGGATTGCAGTTGATGGACTGCACCTGTCATCACAAGGTTCGGCGCGCAGCAGCAGCAGCCAGCAGGCGGGACCCACGCAGGGTCGGGAGGAAACGTTTGTTAGGGTCGGGGTTACGATCAAGCCAAGGCACTTACGGGGTACACCTGTCGCTGTACTCATTGGCGATGGTCTCGATGCCGCCACTCCTTGCTACAGCGATGTAGCAGTTGAGAAAGCCGAGGTCAATGCCAACCACAGACATCCCGCCGCCGAATCGTCGGGGAGCTGGTGCTGAAGCCTCCCGTCTGGGAACCGCGTCCTTTTCTGAGCTGTTGCTCCAAGAATTGGGACTCCTACGAGAAGCAGAGGAGAAATGACCCGAAGTCGCTACGCATTAAATCTAGGGCAGCGCGTCCGGGACCAGAGGAGGAGATAGAGGCCTCCCGCGCCGCAGGCTCCGCCGCCTCTATCTCTCTCCACTGCGGTTCGACCGCCTCCAACCGGCAGTTACAGAGGTCTGCGCCTGCGCGCTCGGTCGCCGGGGAGGTGCGCGAGCGGCCGCTCTGCACCCGAGGCTGCTCCTCGCCTCCACTTCGGCCGCTTCCGTCAGTACTCGGGCAACGGCTGCCCGAGAAGCCGAGGGTTCGAGAAAGATCTGGAAAATGGAGGCGGCCGAGCCAGCGTAGGGTGGGAGGGAGAAGGCGGAGCGGGGAGGATCAGGGAGGAGAGGACGCAAAGCAAAGGGAGTTTGCTCGCCATCGCGCGGCAGCTCGGAGAGCTGCGACTGGGTTGGGTGAGAGGCAGCCGGCCGACCCCGCGCGTTGCCAGCGTGTTTTGAAGCACTGAAGCACCCCTTTTGAGTTGTTTGTGGCAACCACAGGCACGCCTTTTACAGCAGCTGGATACTGCCTAGGCTTGCTCGAAGTGGGACGCGCAGGCCACCGCCTCTCTTTCCCGACGAAGTGCCACCCGCAGCCAGGGAACCCACCGGCCGGCCTCGCCGCCCCGAGGGGCCCATGTGCTGGCAGCCGGAGCGCTCGCAGTCTGACCGCGCGGTCCTGCCGCCCGCCCGCCGCGCCCAGCTCTGTGAGGTGGCGCCCATTGTGCCGCATGGCGGCAGCCTCGCCTCTTCTGCAGGGGCGCCGCCGCTCGCAGGGAAAGGAGTCCTTTTCATTTCAGTTCCCGCAGTGTCTTGTGTGAAAGCCAGCTGAACAAATTTTAGGGGTTTGTTTTTCCTTATCAGGGCCTGAAATGGCAAAAACCAAACTTCTACCAGGAGACAAGAGCACACTAACAACTTGATCTTCCTGTATCTTCCTTTAAACCATTATAAAGATGCAGTCTCCACTAACACTTAACCTCTGAAAAACAGTTTCACAGAAAGCTGACCTTAAAATAAGTCTGACACTGTGATACCAGGCAAGACAGTGCATTGCATCCAGACTCTGCCCTTTGTTCCGTAGAAAAGGAGCCTAGTGTCGTCCCACTGTCTGCCTTCATTTGATCTGCATCATTGTCTAGCCAAAATTTAATCAAATTATAGTTTACACTTACAAAGTTTGGCTGTCTTGTTTCTCCTCGTTCACTTCTTCCTGTGTTTCCTGTTCCTTCTCACCCAATTCTTTATGTGTTCCGTGTTTCCTATTTGTTTCCGTCTTGAAATTGATTTTTTTACTACTCTCATCGTTCCTACTTGTTCTCTTCTTTAAAAAACTTAGACTTTTTACTACTATCAATGCGGTAACAGCAGCAGCAGCAGCAAGTGTGGCTACAGCTCCTGCAGCTGTTGCCATGAGTAACATGAAATCCATTTTCAAGGGTAATACTAAGGAGACTGGAATGTATGGCATTGTTTTGACTCCAGTCTTTCTATATTAAAGAATCCCATCTCTCTCCCGTGTCAGGAGCACACAGGAAGACAGGAAGCTCCTGACTGACGCTGGCCGGTCCTCTTGGATGTGGCTAGACTGGGTGGGGGGCCTCCCAGCAGGCAGTGCGTGAGCAGAGCAGGGATTGGGTACTGCTGCCCCCAACAGAACCTGGGCCCCCAGTCCTACTGGGCATCTCATGGCCTCTCGCTTTCCTCCCCAGATGCCTCTTCAGCTAGCATCCTTTTGAACCCGCCACCATCTAGATTTTTTCCAGAATTATCCTGAAACTCTCCTACGACCATTTATTTAATCATGCTTTCTGTCTGTAGAATTTGAGGGCATGAGGATGATTCATCTGTTAAAGAACACTTAAAACATTAGAGTAAAAAGAAACAGTTGAGGTCAGGAGCAAGGGGATAGCACCACATTCTTTACATAACTGGAGAGGAAATCACAGAATCTAGTGGCTAAAAGCATGACAAGCTTTGGGGTCACATAGACCTGGGTTGTAGTCCCAGGCTCACTTAACAGCATTAGGACCTTTGCCAAATTACCTAATTCACCAAGTCCTAGGTTCAAAATCTGTTAAAATGATGACAAATATACCTACTATGCTCTTTTTATTATTAAATAATGTAAGTGTAACAATAGTACCTTGCTGGCACTGAAAATGCAAAAAAAAAAAAAAAATGGTAATTATGCCTGTCACTAGAATATGGGGATTATACTGATTTAGTTACACTGATCCATGTATACAGCAGCCATGCTGTACTCTCATAAATTCTAACATTTGTAGAGTTTCTTTAATTTCCTGTGTATAGAAACACAGGAAACAACTATTTTTTCTTCATTTTTAATCCTTCTTGTTTTTTATGTTGCCTAAACTCTCTGATGTTGAATATGAGCAGTAATGATGAGCATCTTTGTCTTGTGACTAATGTTAAGTACTTGTACTTATGATGAAAGAAATTAAAATTATCCTCTTTTCCTAGTTGCTAACTTTTTCTCATCTGTGGACATTGAAACAACAAATGTTATTTATCTATTGGTATGACATTTTTCTTCTCCCTTAATTTGTTAATGTGGTGAATATTAATAGATTTTTCTAATATCCTTGTGTTCCTGGGACAAACCAGTTAGACCATGACATTCTGATTATTTTTAGATATATTGGATTTGGGTTATGATTATTTTATTTAGAATGTTTACATTTATAAGTAAGATTAAGTTTTCCTTTCTTTACTCATCTTGTGGATATCAGGATTATATTTGCCTCATAGAACTTGAGAGGTTTCCTCTCTTTTTTCTTTTCTCTGGCAAAGTTTTGGTAAAATAGGCTGTAAACATCTTGACCTGGAATTTAGGAGATTTATGGCCACCAGTTAAGTTTCTTTAGTGGTAGTCTATGTTTTCTATTATTTCTTGAATCAATATTTATATTTTTATTGATAATTTACCATTTCATCTAAGTTTTCACATTTGTCGGCATAAAGTTGATTATTCACTTGTGAGTTTTGAAACTTTCTTCTGTAGTTATATATCCACTTTTCCATTCTTAATATTGTTTATTTGAATCTTTTCTTCTTGGTTCTTTTTTCTGCTCTTTCATCTTTCATCTGCTCTTTATTATCTCCTTCTATATTTTTTAAGTTTACTTTGATTTTTCTGATGTCATGAGTTTAACACTTACAGCATTAGTTTTCAGTCCTCCTTGTTTTCTAATAGGTATATTTGTAGCCATAAATTTCCTTCTAGATACCACTTTGGCTGAATCTCTGTCTGAATTTTCGAACAACTGAGAAGAGTAGGCAATGGAGATTTTAAAAAATCAATATTATTACTGATAAAACTGGTATTACAGAAATAATAATGTGTCTTATAGGCTTATAATTACTCTACCCCAGAATTAAGCAGACTTACCTAGTTATAATAAAACACATAGCTCCACACTGAGGCCTGTCCCTGAAAAAATCCAAGAAAAATTGGATCAGAATGTATGTAGGCTCTCAAGAGAAGTGAGAACGAGGCTTAATTATTCCCAAACTCATCAAGTTAAGTCACTTTCCCCACTAAAAAGTGTTTTAGCCAGTGCTTATTTAGGTTTGCCAATTTGTTCTTTGCTTACTGCATCCCATTCCTTCCTTCTGGGTTTTTAATTTCGGTAATTTTTTAAAAGATAATATTCATTTATTTGAGAGAGAAAGAGAGAGTGAGAGAGAGAAAGAACACAGGGAGAGGGATAAGCAGGCTCCCCACTGAGCAGGGTGCCCAATGTGGGATGAAATCCCAGGATCCCGGGATCATACCCCAAACAGAAGGTAGACTCCCAACGAGCTGAGCCACCCAGGTACCCCTGAGTAATTATTTAAATAAAGTCCTCTAAGTGGTGAACTGGTTTGTTGTTCTCTGAAAAGAAAAAATTTCTTTTCCCTAATTTTTGAATAATAATTTAGCCATGTGTAGAATTCTTGATAGTTAGTTACTTTCCCAAAACAGTTAACAAAACCAAAAGACAACTGACAGAATGGAAGAAGATATTTGCAAACGACGTATCAGATAAAGGGCTAGTATCCAAAATCTATAAAGAACTTAGCAAACTCAACACCCAAAGAACAAATAATTCAATCAAGAAATGGGCAGAGGATATGAACAGACATTTCTGCTAAGAAGACATCCAGATGACCAACAGACACATGAAAAAGTGCTCCACATCACTCGGCATCAGGGGAATACAAATCAAAACCACAATGAGATACCACCTCTCACCAGTCACAGTGGCTAAAATTAACAAGTCAGGAAATGACAGATGCTGGTGAGGATGCAGAGAAAGGGGAACCCTCCTACACCGTTAGTGGGAATGCAAGCTGGTGCAACCACTCTGGAAAACAGCATGGAGCTTCCTCAAAGAGTTGAAAATAGAGCTACCCTATGACCCAGCAATTGCACTACTAGGTATTTACCCTAAAGATACAAACGTGGTGATCCGAAGGGGCACGTGCACCCCAATGTTTAAAGCAGCAATGTCCACAATAGCCAAACTATGGAAAGAACCTAGATGTCCATCAACAGATGAATGGATAAAGAAGATGTGGTACATACATACAAAGAAATACTATGCAGCCATCAAAATAAATGAAATCTTGCCATTTGCGATGACATGGATGGAACTAGAGGAGGGTATTATGCTTAGTGAAATAAGTTAATCAGAGAAAGATAATTATCATATAATCTCTCTGATATGAGGAAGTTGAGAGGCAACGTGGGGGGTTTGGGAGGTAGGAAAAGAATAAATGAAACAAGATGGGATCAGGAGGGAGACAAACTATAAGACATTCAATCTCATAAAACAAACTGAGGGTTGCTGGGGGCGTTAGGGGGGTAGGGAGAGGGTGGTGGTGGGGTTATGGACATTGGGGAAGGTATGTGCTATGGTGAATGCTGTAAGGTGTGTAAACCTGGCGATTCACAGACCTATACCGCTGGCGCTAATAATACATTATATGTGAATAAAAAAATAAAAAATTATAGGGGGTGCCTGGGTGGCTCAGTGGGTTAAAGCCTCTGCCTTCAGCTTGGGTCATGATCCCAGGGTCCTCGGATCGAGCCCCGCATTGGGCTCTCTGCTCAGCAGAGAAGCTCTGCTTCCTCCTCTCTCTCTCTCTGCCTGCCTCTCTGCCTACTTGTGATCTCTGTCAAACAAATAAATAAAATCTTAAAAAAAAACCGTAAAAAAATAAAAATAAAAATAAAAAAATTATTAAAAAAATTAGTTACCTTCCCTTATCTTTGGGCTTCCATTACTATTGAGACTAAATATTGTTCCTTTGAAAGTCATGAGTTTGTCTTTCTTTTTTCTTTGATATTTTGTAGCTTTATTATGTTGTGTCTAGGTGTGGATTTCTAAAAATTTATTCTGAGATTTTTGTTAACCTAAGGATGAATGGTTTTTTGTTTTTGTTTTTTGGTTTTTGGGACGGTTGGTACTGCAGAAGTCTCAGATATTCCTTTGATTATTGCTTCTCACCCCTTCTTTTCAGTTTTTTTTGGATCTCCTGTTAGAATATATAGGTCTCTTTATTCTAACCTCTATGACTCTTAGCCTCTTTTTGTTATCTATTTTTAATTTCAAGCACTCTGCTATTTTTAGATGTTTGTTTTCAAACTTGTCTGTTCTTTCAGACTGTACTGTCTTATTTCTCCTCCTTTAAAAAGATCTATTGTTTTAAATGTTCTAATTTTATAGTCTCTTATTTTATCACCTTTTTAGTTCTTGAGGGCTAATTCTGATGGTCTTATCTACCAACTCTGCCACAATGTACTTTCTCATTTCCTCATAAGATTTAAATATTTGACCATAAATTCATCTTCACTAAGGCAAATTTTACTGTAGGGTTTTTGTGTACCCTGGGTCATAGAAGTGTCCCAGAGATGTTTTGTATTTGTCAGAAACCTGAGGAGTCTTACTGGTCCTAGATCAGTTTTAATTTCTCAGTTTAGAGTTCATATACCATGCATATAGTGCTTATGTGTATATACGGTTGACCCTTGAACATGGATTTGAACTGCACAGGTCCACTTTTATCTGGATTTTTTTTATTAACTATAGTACAGTACTATAAGTGAATTTTCTGTTCCTTATGATTTTCTCAGTACTTTTTCTCTAGCTTTATTGTAAGATTACAGCATATAATATGAAAAGTGTGTTATCGGTAATGATTCTAGTCAACAGCAGTCTCTTAAGTTTTTGGGAAATCAAAAATTATACATGGATTTTTAACTATGCAGGGTCTTGGCCCCACTAGCTCCCATGTTTGTTCAAGGGTCAACTCTACTATGTCCTGGCAGAAGCCTAGTTGTTTTGATTTCTCATAGATGACTTTTTCCCTATTCACTGCTTTGAGATGGTTGTCAATCCACTTGTCTACTATGGTTTGGTGCCTACTTTTCTAGTCTCTCTTCTTAAAATAAAGAGTCTCTCACTCATGTGTGGAATTTAAGAAACAAAACAGATGAACATAGGGGGTTTAAACAGAGAAGTAAACCATTAAAAAGACTCCTTAAAACGGAGAAAAAAACAGGATTGCTGGAGGGGAGGTGGGAAGAGAGATAGGTTAAATAAGTGATGGGTATTAAGGAGGGCACTTGTGATAAGTACTGGCTGTTATACGTAAGTGATGAATCCCTAAATTCTACTCTTGAAACTAATATTACATTATATTTTAACTAACTAGAATTTAAATAAAAATTGAAACAAACAAAAAAGAAAGCATATGGGAATAGCCATATGCTAACTCTTAAAAAATTTTTTTAAAAGGGACACCTGGGTGGCTCAGTCATTAACCGTCTGCCTTTGACTCAGATCATGATACCAGGGTCCTGGGATCAAGCCCTGCATCGGGCTGGACTCCCTGCTCAGCAGGAAGCCTGCTTCTCCCTCTCCCACTCTCTCTGGTTGTGTTCCCTCTCTTGCTATGTCTCTGTCAAGTAAATAAATAAAATCTTAAAAAAAAAAAAAAAAGAAAAAACACTCCTTCCAAGCTTTTAGTACACATGATGTATTCAGTTTCAGTTCCCTTACCTTACCAGGGCCCAAGTTCATAATCCTATCCACATGAGGGTGTTGAAACTACTCTTAAGGTCTGTAGATGTTTCTGACTCCTCTGAGATGTTATACAATATTAGCTCCCAGCAACATTCCTAGCCTTGAGTATTTTTGTTGCTGACATTTTTGTTAAAAAAAATTCTTTTAGATATATTTTATCCAATATCCAACATATCCAATATGTTCATTATGTTTGTGGGAAAGGGTATCTGTGTAAATTCAATCTGCCACATTGCCAGATATTTAGCTCATATACTTGCGATAAATATTTGATCCAGAATCTCTACTTCAACTGGATTATTGCTGTAATTTGCTTCCTGGTCTCTCCACATTCAGTCTTTTCCCTATTTACTGTGCCAACGTTGTCTTCCTAAAGCATTGCTTTGGCTTTGTTATTCACTTGTTCAGAAAATTAGCGATGGTTCTTCCACTGTGTAAATTCTTCACTCTGGCATTCAAAGCCTCTCACAGTTTGACCCACAACTTACTTTTCCAACTCTATTTCCTATCATTTTTCTACATTAACTGTTTTATCCTAGCCAGCTTGACCTCTTGACCTCTTACTGTTGCTCAAAGATGACAAATTTCTCCACCAAGTTTCTGGACCACTGTCTTTCTCTGGGACATAGCTCAAATTTTACACCCTTATTAAAACCTTACCTTCAATATTGTTTAAGGGTATCATAAGGCCTCCCAAGAGTGCCTCAAGTTAACTGTTTCTTTCCTTTGCTACCATTTTGTACCTTTCTTTATGATATTTTCCACATTCTGTTCTCCACCAGTTATTTTTGTCCATTTTACTAGATTATAAACTCTAAATTATGACCTTTACAAGATTATGAGGGTATAGGATGTATTTGTTTTTGTATACTTCAAAACTAGCCAAGGCATTGAACTAAATAGTGTACAATAAATTCTTGTGAGATAAGTAGGAAATTCACCCTAATAATAAATGCTATAATAAATGCTATGGTAGAGATTTGCATTGAAGTCTAGAAACTTCTGTGTTTGAAGGGCTAGAAATGGGACTGTCTGTCAAGGGAGGGATCCTTTGAAGCAGGAAGAGCTCAAAGGAGGCAACTTTAGAATTACGCCTTAAAAAATAAGTAACTTTCAAGGTAGATAATGAAAAGGAGCGAGCTAATGAGCAAAGAGGAAAAAAAAGTACAAAAAAGATAAATGACATTGAAAAATAAGGTCCAATGGCAGAGGCATCAAAAAGCATGTTGTGTTTGGGGATCAGAAATTACTGGTAAGCCTATAATGCCTAGGAGGACAGATGTGATACACAGCTGAAGTCTAGAGCTAGAGCACAAAGGATCCTGTATTCCACAGTAAGAATAAGAAGTCTTTCATTTATCCTGCAGGCTAGCCATTTACCTTTTCAAGAATGAAGACACGTTTTTAATGTAACAAAAACTATGCCTCTCAAAGTAACTTTTTAAAAGCTTTTATTGAAATAGGATGTCCATGTACTACCATGAGTTCAAGAATATTTCAATGCAATCTTGTATTTTGCTAATCCCCTAAACTTGTACATATGTAAACAAAATTGCTACATATACATAAAATCCCACTTTAAAATTCTATTTTCATTTTTAATTGGCATATGGACTCCTAAGTTACTTGCAAAAACTGCCCCCCAACCTTGCCCAATGCTGATGACCTGCAAGCCCGGAAGTAGTACTGTAACTTACTCAGAAACATTGAAATATATGGAGACTGACATGATCAGATTGAGAGTTTAAAAAATACTCTGGTGGCAGTGTTAAGAATGGATTAGAGGATGGTGAGAATGGATACAAAAATGTTACTTAAGAGACTGTGGAAGACTACTAGCAGTCTTTCAAAATCTAATATTTTGTCTTGTACACATGGCTGCTGAACTGCAGACTATATTTCCCACCCTCTTTATAACTAAGTATGGCCATGTGACTGAAGTCACTAATATGTATATTCAACATGTGCAACTTCCACACCTTTCCTGGTTAAAATTTCTTCCACCTCCTGTGATTTATTTTTCCCTTTTCCTGTCAGTGGGAACACAGATTAGCCAGAGACCCAACTTTGATTATACAAATGAGTACAATGTTCTAGGACAAGTGTTCTTTACCTTGGGGAGGGGGTCCCCATATCCTCAAAGGATCCATAGGTAGAATTAAACAGGGATTGTTTTGAACTAACCTTTAACTAAAATTTAACATTTTTTTCAATTTTGAATATAAACACAAATAAACACAGTTGTATTTTTTAAAAGATTTTATTTTGAGAGACAGTGTGAGTGGGGGGAGGAGCAGAGGGAGAGAGACAATCTCAAGCAGACTCTGAAGTCTGAAGTCTGAAGCCCAACACTAGGCTCAATCCCAGAACCGAGATCATGACCTGTGCCAAAATCAAGAGTTGTACACTTAACTGACTAAGCCACCCAGGCACCCCACAAATTACAGTAGTATTAATAGTATGTGATTTTTGAGGGAGAGGAGATGCAACATGGGGGGTTAATGTGGTAGGAGAAGAGTAAATGAAACAAGTTGGGATTGGGAGGGAGACAAACCATAAGTGACTCTTAATCTCACAAAACAAACGGAGGGTTGCTGGGCAGAGGGGGGTTGGCGGGGGGGAGGTTATGGACATTGGGTAGGGTATGTGCTATGGTGAGTGCTGTGAAGTTTGTAAACGTGGAAATTCACAGACCTGTACCCCTGGGGGGGAAAAAAAAATATATATATATGTTTATAAAAAATAAAATTATAAAAAAAAAATAGTATGTGATTTTTCCCACCAATAGAAATCAGATATTTTCATACCACATTATAATTATTGGATAAATATTATTTTTGTTTTGTCTTTTTCCACCCCCCTAGCAAACCTTGCTGTGAGAACACAATGTTAAACTCACCAAAACAGATGAATATTTATACTTTTGCCACTGTGCACCAGAAGTTCAGCTGGCTCCATTTCTGTTCATTCACAGCCTCCAAAAATCTCTCTCTATAGTTTATCCCCTCTAGTTTAACATTCCTTTACCCGCTAAAATGTTAAAATCTTGGGGATTTCAAATGTACTATCTTCTACAACATTTCTGAAAAAACAAGACAGACTCTTGTATAAAGCCTTGGAAGCTCTGTTTTCTGTCTTTAAGTCAATTCCGAATTCTGGCAAAAATTTTGTTACTCTCTGCTTATTAATGAAGCTAGAATCAAGGAAAAAAGCTCATCTATAACAGTTTTAAACTTTATTATCAATACACAGCACACTAATTTTCAAAGGTATATTTTTTGTTCCAAGATATATTCACATTAGTCAGATTTTTTTATTTTAAAGATAAAAGCAGACACACCATTTTATATCTTTTCTTTTCCACCAACATGCTTATAGTGCCATAAAGTCATTAATTTTTTATGATCAGATCTAGAATCTATCTTATAACAGGTATATGGTAACATAAACTATGCATAGTAATACCTGAGCTGTCTTAATAGAGATGTTGTAGAAGAAAGTTTACTTCTGCCCATAAATATGATGACATCTCCTGATAAGCTTTTAAGAAATATTTGTCATATCATATGATTTTAAAAGATGAGAAGGCAGTTATATTAAGAGAAGAACATTTAAAAAGAATATACTTTCATTTCTTAGATTTTAGTATATATTTTAATTTTCATTACAAAAGAAAAGGATTTTAAACTAATAGAAATAACATACTACTTAAAGTCAAATGTCTCCTTAAGGTTTGAGTCTAAGTAGGAAGGAAACCCACATTTATCTGATTTTTAGTATCTAAAATCCCTGAAAAAGCATATGCTTTATTGTAGAATTATTCTAAAAAATACTGACAGTAATAACACTCTATCAAATCGTACACAAATGGCAGCTATATAATTTGTATGTTTAACAAGTTAAATACATGTGTTTCTTAATCTCCTGATGAACTACCTCCAATATCAATATTAAGGAATTCTTTAATTTTATCATATAGTACCAACACCAAAGCACCCCCTGTACCACGAAGGATATTGGAGAAGGCACCACGAAAAAATGCACTGATTCCCTCATGTTGGTATATCTTCACAAAGCAGTCTAAAGTTCCTTTATATTGCCGTTCCACCTCACCACTCTATACAAAGGAAGACAAATAGTTTGCCATTATTTTACTATCTCTCATCTTAAAATAGTTTTTTTTCAGCACTAAGGACATATAAAATTAACACTGTGTTGAATAAGTATGTTGCATTAATGGACATATATAGAATATTGTACCCAGTGGTTGAAGAATACTCATACTTCTCTGGCCCACCTAAAAACTGATCATATATTAGGCTTAACAAACTTCAAAAGATGGTTATCACATACTATTATTTACCCTCTCACAACATTGCAGTTAAATGAGAAACTGACAGCAAAAAAGATAACTAGTAAACTATCAACTGTTTAGATACTAAGAAAAACACATCTTAGAAGATATTTAAAACCTAATAATAACCATAAAACTCCTTAATAAATTTGCAAGATGCAGTTTGAGTGGTAAATTATAAGAAAATTAATGACTTTGAAATATTAGAAAGGAAAAGCTGAAAATTAATGAGCAACCTGAACATTTTTAAACCAAAAGAAAGTAGAAATAAGAAAGTAGCCAGCAGAAATTATGGAATTAAGGAAATAGGAAATAAATACAACAGAAAGCATGCAAAGTCAAAGTTAGTTATTTGAAATACCTTACTGACAAATTTCTAGAAACATTGAGGAAAAACAAGAAAATGTTCCAAAATTATTAGAAACATCAAAGGTATCATCACTGTAGATGATCCAGAGATTAAGATGATATTAACAACTTCATGATGCCTATTTTGAAAACTCAGAAGAAATGGACAAGTTCCTTAAAAAGTATAATTTACCAACAGAATAAAAAATAAAACATTAGAATAATATATGAAATTCACTTAAGTAATCTAATCAGTTGTTGAAAATCCTCATATAGAAAACCATGTGTCCAGATAGCTTTATATGTGAGTTCGCTAAATATTCAATTTAATTCCAATCTTACAGAAGTTATTCTAGAAAAGAGAAAAAGTGGAATACTCCACTATATATTTTATAAATATAAAGGTTTTACAGGCCTTGATATCAAAATTAGGCTAGGACAATACAGGAAGGAAAAATAACAAACTAAAGTCACTGAAACAATGCAAAACTCCTGAACAAAAACTAGCCAATCAAACCCAGCTAAAAATACAAAATACAATACATAATGACTAAGATGGGTTTATACTAGACATATATGGTTGGTTTAGCTTTGGAAAACAGATAAATATAATTTATTAACATATGGAAAAAGAAAAATGAAATCATCTCAAGATACAGAAAATCATCTCAACAAATATACAGAATCACCATTCATGATTAAAAACTGTTCTAACCCAAAACAGAAAGGAACAGTCATAATATGATAAAAGATAACTACAAAAACCAGACAGCTAACATTAAATGATGTAACTTTGAAGGCATTCCTATTAAGACTAGCAAAAAGATTGTTAGTTATTACTTCTTTAATACAGTAACACTGAATCATAGGTCTCAGCCAGTGCAGAAAGGCAAGAAAAGGAAATAAAAGGTACAAGAATTGATAAGAAAGAGGAAAAAAACCTAGTATTACTCATAGATTATATACCTGTGTGTAAAAAACAACAACAACAACACACAACTTCAGAGTGTACATATAGATTAGCTTTTGTAGTTGGGTTTAACAAAGAAATGAAAATAGAAAAATTAAAGTACCATTATGGGTTTGCATTGTATCCCCCCAGAATTCATATATTGAAGTCCCAATCCCCAGCACCTCAGAATGTTACTATATTTGGAGACAGAGTATATATGTATGTATGTATGTACATATGTATGTATATATATATGTATATATTTACAGTATATTATTTGTTTCAGAGGTACAGGTCTATGATTCATCAGCCTTACATAATACCCAATGCTCATTACAACACATAATTATATATTATATATATATATATATAAATATATATAGTTATATATATAGTTATATAACAATAACCTCCCCAATGTCCATCACCCAGTTACCCCATCCCTCTCCCCATCTCCTCTCCAGAAACCCTTCGTTTGTTTCCTATAATTAAGAATCTCCTATGGTTTGTCTCCCTCTCTGGTTTTGTCTTGTTTCACTTTTTCCTCTCTTCCCCTATGATTCTCTGTCTTGTTTCAGTTTTCATAAATATCAGAGAGATCATATGATAATTGTCTTTCTCTGACTGACTTATTTCACTTAGCATAGTACCCTCTAGTTCCATTCACATCATTGTAAATGGCAAGATTTCATTTTTGATGGCTATGTAATATTCCAATGTATATATGTATCATATCTTCTTTACTCATCAGACAGGATCTTCATAAAAGTAATTAAGATTAAATAATCTTGTTAGGGTAGGCCCTAATCCAATTTAGCTATCTTTATTAGAAGAGAAACAAAAAAAAGGACCATGGGAAGACACAAGGAGAAAGCTATCTACAAGCCAAGGAGAGAAGCCATCAGAAGAAATCAACCCTGCTGGACACCTTGACTCAGACTTCTAGCCTCCAGAACTGTGAGAAAAAAATTTCTGTTGCTGAAGCCACCAAATCTCTGTTGTTTCATTATGGCAGTCCTAGTAATATACACATGTATCTAAAACCCCATACAATCACAATTTTTTTCTGAATTATTTTGATAGTAAGTTATGGACTATCATGTCCCTTACCTTTAAATACTTCTGTGTGCATTTTCTAAAAATAAGATTATTTTCTTGCAAACCCAAAGTACAGTTAACAAAATCAGAAAATATAACATCAATATAGTACCATTCACCTAATCCAGTCTGTATGCAAATTAATTTTCAATTTAAAAAGGTTTTTCAATGTATTAAACTAGAGCTAGATACAGATCAAGAGAAAACACACATATAAAAGGAGTAACTTTAAAAACAGTCTATAAGTGAATAATGTTAATAGGTATGCTTTACCTTTTCATGTGGCCTACAGGGTTCTCCAGGACCAATTTGTAGACATAAAATGAGGATGAGGATAATGACAGTAACTACACCTCATAGCATTGTTTTGAGAATTAAATGAGTTAAAGTGCAAAATGCTTAGGACAATATCTGGAACACAATAAGCATTATATTACTATTCTAGCTTTCTGGCCTCATTATTTTTATTTCCAATTGCCCTCACGAACCCTATCATCTGCTACTCAAACTGTACATCTACGTATGTTTTTTCCCCTCTGCTTAGAATATCCTCTCACTGTCTAAAGAAAAAAATCTATTTATAGAGATTTAGCTCTCCAAGGGGCTACATCTGATCACTTTAAGCATTTAGGTATCCTTCTGTTGCGTTCCTGGAACTTATGTATATTTCTTGTTTGTTTGTTTTTTTAAGATTTTATTTATTTATTTGATAGAGAGAGAAATCATAAGTAGGCAGAGAGGCAGGCAGAGAGAGAGGGGGAAGCAGGCTCCCTGCTGAGCAGAAAGCCCAACATGGGGCTCGATCCCAGGACCCTGGGATCATGACCCGAGCCGAAGGTAGAGGCTTAACCCACTGAGCCACCCAGGTGTCCCTGCACATTTCTATTTAAACCATATGCATTCAGTGCTATGCTATGAATTTGGAAGCAGGTTCCACATTATTTTTATTTGGGTTGTCATAACTTAGCATATATTAGGCACTTAAATATTTGCTGAATAAATGAATGTAACAAAGAACATCAATGAAGACTGAATGTATCAAAATTTTGATTTAGAGATTTATATGTATTTGTTTTTAAAGACTTTATTTATTTGAGAGAGAAAGAGCAGGGAAGAGAGGCAGAGGAAGAGAGAGGGAGAGTCTTAAGCCCAACACAGAACTCAAGTTCACGACCCTGAGATCAATACCTAAGCAGAAACAAAGAGTCAGACACTTAACCAGCTACCACCCAGGCACCCCAGAGATTTATATTTAGAACACACAGAATTTTAAACAAGTTTTCATCCTTGGAATTGAAAATTATTTACTTTTGTTAAAATATATTACAACTAATAATGACATATGGCAGTGGCTTGTGACAGGGTTTGATCTACTTACCCTAATATTCATTTAGGATAGACACACTCTTCCCATCCCTGTCACCCCCCTCCACCTTTCAAACAATACGTTACAGGAGTGGAGGGCATTTCTATTCTGATAATAGAAGAGGAAGAAAGTTTTGCTGGATGATGGCTGTTTTGGGATAGGAAAGGATATAAGACAGAGCACAGCACACATTTATTTAAGTAAATAAAACAGATGACCTGCCTTTCAGCCAGAATTTCTCTAAAATTTGAATAAATTATACTTGAATATCAAGGATATTGTAAAATTCAATTAAACTCACAAATAATATAAAATACCTGCATCATCATGCGTCTTCTAACTGTGTCAAAGGGATAAGAAAGAATTCCAGAACATGTGGTCACAACTTGAGCAATGAAAAAGGAGACAAGAAATGGGGTTTCCTTTGGTTTTGGTAATAAGCCCTAGAAAAGAAATCAATATGTCAAGTAACCATCTAAATTTCCAAAATATCTTAAATTCTTAAGTCAAAGGATAACTCCTATAATGCAAGAGGGTTCTATTATACTTAAAATGCAATAAAACACAGTTGGATTTAATGTGGAAAGATTAAAACAGTATCAGGAGATCAATAAGAAAGAAATATGCCACACATGACTTTACTTTAAAAGCATATCTGAAAAAAGAAAGCATACTTGCTATTACCAGAGATTTGTTATTAATGGCAAACAGTAAGGGAAATAGCTGCCAGTGACCAAACAAGTTTTTAGCTCTTCTTCATAGTTGAAAAATCATTAAATAATGCCTGATATTATCATTAACAGGTATTTAATAAACATCTTTAAAGCCCTAAGCTAGTGAAGAAACACTTCTAAATTTCATAACTACTATAGGTGATAATAAAGAAAAACAGAGGGAGGGCATACATAAAATTTTCCATGACTAAATATACATAAGAACTTGTTAATTTCCATTAATCTGTCTAAAAAATACACAAGAAACTGAAAATAACATGCCCAGACCACAATAAAAATAATCTATAATTACATTCATACTAATGAGGGAAGGCCAAGACAATATGTAAAACATATAAATTTCCCTCAAGTTTTAATCTTATCTAGTAAATAATACTAATATTAATTTCCCTGCTTCCTTTTTTAAGAGACTATGAGCATGGGATTTTTGTTTGCCACTTAACACAAATTACTTAACTATTCCTAGGTTATCTTTAAAATGGAGATACTAAAAGCTATCCTAGGATATTACTAGGAAGTATTTAACAAAGTTCCTAGAACTAAGTAGTAACTCAAAATATGGTAACCATTATTATAATTTTCCTCTTTCCTACTTTATGGAAATACTGTTAAAATCTGAAATGAAAAGGCAAATTGCAGAACAACCTGGAGAATACAATATAGAATCTAATAGAACCCAAGTGATAACTGAGCTCTAGAAGCATTTATTACATTTAATTAGTTATGCCTTGCTTGCTTTTTAAAATGATGAGATGGTAAGCTGATTATCCTCATGTAAGAAAGTGATAATGAAGTGAATGTAAAATCAGAAAAACTGTTAGAAGATGCCTTTCTATATGCTAAAGATTTGATTTAATTATGATGTAAGGCTAATTAATTAGCACATTTTCTATTTGCAACATGATGTATAGTGAGTCTGTCCGTGGCAAACAGCACAAAAACTTAATGTTTGTGTTTATGTTTTATATCTAAAGTCAGATCCATAATAGAATTATAATTCAATAAGGTTATGGCAAAGTCACAATTAAAGAGATTCTATAATGTTTCTTATTTCATCATTTATTTTGATTTCTATAATTAAAAGCAAGAGTTCATAGCTGAACAAACTACTAGTTAAGACAATAAAAAGAAACAAACCATGTATTTAGTATATACCAGTTAAATCCCCAAATTACCTTAACTGTGTCATATGCTCCGAAATAGGAGGCTCGGTACACAATGATACCCTGAACTGAAACACCAAACCCTTGGTACAAACCAACAATTCCGTCTGATTTTGCTATTTTTATAATACAGTCACCTAAACCCTTGAATTGTCGCTCTTCAGGACCTAAAATAAAGCCATTTAAAATGTATTAGCAACATTATATACATTATATATCAGATAAACACTTTAATCAAAGTAAATTAATCTTACAGATTTAAAGTATCTTCTTAAACTGCCATTTAGAAATTTTTCTAATAAAAATGGACACAAATCAAAATCCTCCCATTTCTTTAAAGAGAATTAAGGTTTCAAAAATATCTTAAAAGATTTTAACTGAAAATATTAATCTCTTATAAAAACAATCTAATTCAAGCAATTTGACTGGCTTAAAACATTTCAATAAAATTACCAGAAGCTACTGACTGGAATTCAGAAAATACTTGGGAATGAAAAATTCTATGACTTGCTTCAGTTGAAAGGCGAAAGACAGACACAGTAAAAAGACAAAGTTAAAAACTACCAGTTATGGACATTGAGGAGGGTATTTGCTATGGTAACTGCTGTGAAGTGTGTAAACCTGGAGATTCACAGACCTGTACCCTGGGGCTAATAATACATTATATGTTAATAAAAAATTAAAAATTAAAAAAAAAAACTACCAACTTTAAGAATCATTAACATTTTAGATGAGTTATTATAATAGTGTTTGCTGGTTTTAATTTTATTTTCCCTTCACCTAGAACTCCTTGACAATATTTTAAAAATATTGTATATAAAATATAGTCTTCAAAATAAACTAATTTCTCCCAATTCTGATAGAAAACTACAGAACTAAAAACAAGATGCAGGAATTTTTGTCACTTTCTTAATAACAAGAAAATTTAAACTGCCAGTTGAACATGTTAAATGGAACTCATTATTTTCATCTTTGCTCAAACTGCTACGACTTCTGAGGCATTTTTTCTAACCAGCTTATCTAAAACTGATGTCACTCCCTGCTCCTAAATATTTTTGTATGTCATTTATTGCTAAATTACAGTATATTTTGGTCATTCATTCATTTTTTCATTACTTCTGTCTTCCCCTAGACCATAAAGTACTTGAGCCATGAGCTCCATGTTTTTTAAAATATTTTTAAAGATGTATTGATTTATTGATTTGACAGAGAAAGAAAGAGAGAGAGATCACAAGTAGGCAGAGAGGGAGGCAGAGAGAGAGGGGAAAAGCAGGCTCCTTGCCGAGCGGGGAGCCCAATGCGGGGCTCGATCCCAGGACCCTGAGATCATGACCTGAGCCAAAGGCAGAGGTTTAATCCACTGAGCCACCCAGGCGCTCCGAGCTCCATGTTTTATATGGGGGGGGGGTCTATGTGTATGTCTCTCATCTTATAGCTGAGGCATGCCTTGGTCCCGGCAGGGACTCAATTAAGTATTTGTTGAATAAATCTCTGCTTTCTTAGGAAATTACACTAAAATGGTAATAAAAGAACAAAACAGGTTTAAAGCCATATAGGCAAGAACAGTACATGGCAGAGAATGAAAACCACAAATTTTAGCAAATGGAAAGGAGAAGGAGGAGTAGTAACTCACTCAGAGCAGAAAAAGCTGAAACCTATGTTCCTGCAGAGAGAAAAGCAAGCCATTTTACACCAATAACCTCAGAAAGACTTAAAAATTAGAAGAACTAAGTATTGCTCTTTTGGGGCCACATGGGTGGCTCAGTGGGTTAAGCCTCTGCTTTCGGTTTGGGTCATGATCTCAGGGTCCTGGGATCAAGCCCCCATCGGGCTCCCTGCTCAGCGAGGAGCCTGCTTTCCCCTCTCTCTTTGCCTGCCCCTCTGCCTACTTGTGATCTCTGTCAAATAAATAAATAAAATCTTAAAAAAAGAAAAGTATTGCTCTTGCAGTGAAAACAAAGTAGCATCTGGATGCTCAAAACCTCATCCTTGAGCTGCCAAGTGAGTTACTCCTCTGCCATCCTCAGAACTGAACACAAGGCTCCAGACTGAAAGGGGCCAATTGAGCTACTTCCACAATTGCTGAAAAAGCCTCAAAAGATATACCATTGTGAAATGTCAAGATCATCAGGGACATAAGGTAATTAAAAGAAAAAAAAGTCACATACAAAAGAATTCGCAGTTAGAAGATCAGTTTCTTTTTCTTTTTTTTTTTTAAGATTTTATTTATTTGACAGAGAGAGAGAGAGATCACAAGTAGGCAGAGAGGCAGGCAGAGAGGGAGGGGGAAGCAGACTCCCCGCTGAGCAGAGAGCCCAACACAGCTTGATCCCAGGACCCTGAGACCACGTCAGAGCCAAAGACAGAGGCTTAACCCACCCTCTCAGCCACCCAGGCACCCCAGGAAATCAGTTTCTTAAGAGCAATATTAGAAACAAGAATCCAGAAAAATGCTTTCAAAATTGTGAAACAAAGAAACTTTAAAGTATAATTTTACATATTGCCAAATATTAAGTAAAAGGGTAAAACAGATTTTTTTTTAGACATGCAATATTTCAATGTATCTCCTATACACTGTTCTCAAAAAGCTCAGAAAGCTATTAAAGAGCATAATCTACCAAAACAAGAGTATAACAAAAACACAGAAAGATGTTATACATAAAATAAGTAAGGTAAGAGGCAAAGGGAATCTCTAGGATAAGAGCTGTGTATGTAACCTAGGGAAGAGCCATAGTTGAAACAGGAATAAGTTCAGGGAGGGATATAAGAGGTGGCTCTCTAGGAAAAAACTGGAAGTGAGTTAAAAGAAGTCTTTGCATTTGCTCTCTTGATATCACAGTGCTGGCCTTCCCCTTCCTTCTTTCTAGGGAAAAGAAAAAAGTAGTAATCTTTAGTCTCAAGACTCTACCATTTAGTTGAGGGTAAGATTTTTAGAATGTATTTCATGCTGTCATTATAGCAAACTCTACAATAAATAATGCTTCACTCAAAACACAAAGAAGGGAGAGTTAGTATTTTTGAAAATCCTGTACCTTTTCCAATATCAGCACCTAATCGGGTTCGGGCAAAGTCTAGCGGATAAACTACACATAAGGATGTTGCTCCAGCAGCTCCACCAGAAGCCAGGTTTGCCAAAAACCACCTCCAGAACTGAAACACATTAATTAAAAAGTGGTTATTAAACTGTAGAATCTGTTTAAAAGTCTTATTTTTATGAAGGTTAAAAAGTCAGATTTATAAACTGCTCTTTTAAAGTAAACGTCTATAATAATGTGTATCATATTATCCAAAATATTTCCCTTCATGTCCATGAAGCCTTTGTTTCTTTCCAGGCTGTATGGGAGATACAGTTTAAGTGCTGATATAAAGAAATACCAACATATTTTAATTGTCTTTAGCAAAAGTAGCCCAAATTAGCAAATAAGGCCACATATGATAATCGTCTCTTTAGACTATATAAATTTTTTGTTAATAACTCGTATTATGGTTAAAATGTCAGGGATCTATGGAGGCTTTAGTTGTACCCTTTTTTTTTTTTGGTATGGGGCAATAATACTTCATAATGCTATAATTTTACTTTGCAATTTTAGTAGATATTTAAGCAGCTCAAAATTTAACAGCTCAAAAAATATAGTATTTTCAGCTGCTAACATGAAAATTAGCAGAAATCAATTATAATATAGTTGAGCAGTGTGTAACTTAGGCCTTATTGATCTACTGGTTCACATGGATTGTTGAGGTTCTTTTTCATAAATATTTTAAATGTGCCCTGCTTGGTCCAATAAACTGCTTTTCAACATCTAGAGCTTACTGGAGAAGAATATTTGAATTGGAGTGGTTATAGAAAATCTATTGAAGGCCACTGTAACCATTTAAAATACATTAAAATGAATAATATTCTAATCAAGTTCAGTTTCTTGTTTTATTCTCTGGCCTTTATTTCTAACAATAGTTTTTAAGTCTCAGATAGCTTTGGAACTCTCAATTTTCTCTTGGCCTAGAAAGACTTTCCTAACTTTTTTAAACAAAAAGTTACTAATTTATACTCTAATTCAAATTCAACTTCTTCCATGAAACCTCTGATCTCTAAACCTACCCAAATCTATGTGTAATCATCTCCTTCTATAAATACTTCAGCTCTCAAGAGAATTAGAAGTGAATCCTGTGACCAATATGTAAAATATGTCAACATGTTCTAGATTCTCAATTTAAATAGTATTTACAATCACTTCCTACTTTCAATTTATAAGTATTTATATACATGTCTTATCTTACCTCATGTAGACCATAAATTTCTGAGAGTTAGGATTATTATCATTTAAGAGTTTTACTGAGATGTATTTATATACCATACAATTTACCAATGTAAATTTGCCATACAATCCAATGGATTGTTAATATTTTCAGATTGTTCAACCATTATCAGTTTCAAAACATTTTTATCAGCTCCCCCCAAAAAGCCCTATACCAACGGAGTGACCAGAAGTCACTCCATGTCCTCCCCATGCCCCTGAGTCTGAGGTAACCATCAAGCTACTTACTGTCCCTATAGATTTGCCTATTATGGACATTTCCTACACATGGAATAACACAGTATGTAGTCTTTTGTGACTGACTTCTTTCTTTTAACATAATATTTTCAAGGTTCACCCATATGGTAGCAAGTATTAGCATTTCATTTTTTTAAATTTTTTTTAAAGATTTTATTTATTTATTTGACAGACAGAAATCACAAGTAGACAGAGAGGCAGACAGAGAGAGAGAGGAGGAAGCAGGCTTCCTGCTGAGCAGAGAGCCCGATGCGGGGCTCGATCCCAGGACCCTGAGATCACGACCTGAGCTGAAGGCAGAGGCTTTAACACACTGAGCCACCCAGGCACCCCAGCATTTCATTTTTTTAAAAAGATTTTATTTATTTGACAGAGAGATAGAGAACTCAAGTAGGCAGAGCGGCAGGCAGAGGTAGAGGGAGAGAGAGAGGCAGGCTCTCCAATGCAGGGCTCGATCCCCAGGACGCTGGGATCATGACCTGAGCCCAAGGGTAGCCGCTTAACTGACTGAGCCACCCAGGCACCCCCCTTTTTAAATTGCCAAATAAAATTCCATTATATGAAGTTACCACATGTTATTTGCCCATTCATCAGTTCATGGACATTTTGGTTGTTTGCACTTTTTTGAAGCCAAGATTCTTAATTCATCTGTTTATTTTACGAAACAAGTTATGGGCCTTGCCCAAAGTAATGGTAATGCATTCAATAAATATCTACTTAATGAGGTACTGGTAATACCACATATTGTCCTCCGACTATCATGGCTCCTTTTCAGTGAAACTCCTAGGTTTTGTATGGGTAGACATGTTTCATAATCACCCAGAGATAATTAGATCAGGAGATTACATCTGACCCCAGGATAGCTAATCTATAATCTAATAGATAATCTGTAACCTGGTAGAAAAAATGAGTTGGACCAAAGTCTGTTTCTTGGGAATTTAACTCTAAAATTCTATGCCAATTAGCAGTAAGGACAGAAATGGAAAAGGTATTAAATAACTATTTTTAGGTCTCAGTCTTCTTTGAGACTGTTGCAATCAATAGATCCTCTTCCAATAAAAACCACATATGTATAAACACACTTTTAATGGTTTAAGGTATTCTTTAAACATTCATGGATCCCGGGAAGGCAGATCAATGACTTTCTGCGTGGATTATCATAAAATTTATTACTCAAACTATGACACTTCTGACAGTGGAAGTGGGGCTTTGGAAAAAATGACACAGGCAGGCAGAACATGTCTAAGTAGTATTGCCAACTTTCTGACCAAAGAAAGGAAGAGGGAAGGAGGAAAGACTGAAGGCAGCAAGGAGAGGGAGACAGGAAGTATCTATGTTGAATCATAATCTTGCAAGTGTTTGTATAACAAAAAAAATCTATCCCTTCAAAATTATGCTTGAAAATAAAACAGACCCAAAGGAGGTGGTACATCAGTATAAGTGAGAGTTTCAATTATTGAAAGTCAGTAATTTCAGATATTACTATATCATAAAAGGAGAGGGCAAAGAGAAGAGTCAGGGAGGGAGAGGAGGTTGAAAGAATCTGAGGGTTTTGGAGGAAGATAATCTTGTTTATTTTGTAGACAAATAGGTAATCGTGTTAATGGGCTCAAGGATGCACTGAAGAACAAATGCTCTAGAAGCGAAATTGTTTCTAACAAAGTTTGTCTGGGCAGGAAAGAGCTAGAAGAAGTTCTAGTCCAAGATTAAGAGTCTGATGCTTAACTGTCAAGGGTTATATTAGAAGCTACTAAAAGGGGGCAGAGAAACATTTTGTACCCAGGCTCAGCTAAGTTTCACTCAGTGTAGTCACCTCAGTTGACATAGAAAGAGTCCAGTTGAAGGATCTAAGTTTGGGAGTTAGAAAGACCTGAACAAATGGTTTGGACAAGTGCTCTCACCTCTGAGTCTTGCTTTCCTTAGCTTTACATCTAAGATAAAAATAACTACCTCAAAGAGTGAGGTGAAAATTCAGTGAAACAGTATATAGTAGCCTATAGCTCCCATCATGGTTGTTGTTGTTATTATTATTTAAAGTAATAATGGAGATGGACGTGGAGCCCAACATGGGGCTTGAACTTACAACTTTGAGATCAGGACTTGAGCCAAGATTAAGAGTCTGATGCTTAACTGACTGAACCACCCAGACATCTCCTCACCATGGTTATTTTTTAAAAACTTCGTATTTTTAAATAATTGCAGATTCACATGCATCCTAAGAAATGATACAGAGAGAGTATATAAACCCTTCAACTAATTTCCCCTAATATCTAGCATAACTATAGTAGAAAAAATCAACACTGATAAAAACTTATTCAGATTTCACCAATTTTACATCTATTTGTTTGTGTGTGTGTTTAAATATATGTAATTTTATCACATATGCAGATTCATGTGACCACTGCCACAGTCAATAGTTCCGTGATAAAGATCTCTCAATGCTACCCTTTTATTTTATTTCATTTTTTAAAGATTTTATTTATTCAACAGACAGAGATCACAAGTAGGCAGAGAGGCAGGCAGAGAAAGAGGGGGAAACAGGCTCCCTGCTCAGCAGAGAACACGATATGGGGCTCGATCCCAGAACCCTGAGATCATGACCTGAGCCGAAGGCAGAGGCTTAACCCACTGAGCCACCCAGGCGCCCCTCGATGCTACCCTTTTAAAGCCATAACCACCTCCCTCTCTTCTGGCAACCATTACATTATTTTTATCTCAATGATTTTAACATTTCAAGAATGTTATATAAATGAAATCAGAAAGCAAATTTTGAGATTTTTTTTTCACTTAGCTTCCAAAGTTGCTACACGTTATCAAGTTTGTTCTTTAAAAAATTATAAAATACACATAACATAAAACTTAATCATTTTAGTCTTTAAAAAAATTATTTATTTGAGAGAAAAATCATGCAGGGGAAGGGGCAAGGGGAGAGAAAGAGAGAAAATCTCAAGCAGACTCCCCGCTGAACATGGAGCCCAACCTGGGGCTCTACCTTAGGACACTGAAATCATGACCCGGGCCAAAACCAGGAGTCAGGCACTTAACCCACTGAGCCACCCAAGTGCCCCTGACTTCAGCTATTTTTAAGTGTATAATTCAGTGATACTAAGTACATTCACAATAACATAAAAATATCACTCTTTTTGGGGTGCCTGGTGGTTCAGTCGGTTAAGCACCCGACATTGGCTCAGGTTATGATATTGGATCTCTGGGAGGGAGCCCCAAGTTGGGCTGCCCACTCATGGGAAGTCTTCTTGTCCCTCTGCTCCTCCCCCGTTTGTACTCTCTCTCAAATAATGAAATAAAATAATTTTTAAAAAACCCAATACATCACTACTCTCTACTTCCAAACCTCATCATCCCAAATAGAAACCCTGTACCCATTAGATAAAACTCCCATTAACATTTGTTAATGAAGTATAAATGGTGAGGGACGCCTGGATGGCTCAGTGGGTTAAGGTTCTGCTTTTGATTCAGGTCATGATCCTAGGATCCTGGGATCCAACCCTACCTCAGGTTCCTTGCTCAGCAGGAAGCCTGCTTCTCCCTCTCATTCTGCCTGCTGCTCCTCTTGCTTGTGTTGTCTTTTCTCTCTCAAAA